CTTCTACTGTGTTTGTTCCTTGTGTTTCTGGAACTTTGTCAAAGTACAATCAATGCAGACTCTTGTAAACCGAGAAAAACATGGAAAATAGCTTGGTAGGATCTGTAATTGTAAGACTGATGTTTAGAAATTTGCAGATTCATTCATTTAAAGCTTCTCATGAGTCTGATCTGTGTGCATGAGAACGAGCATCGCCCTGGGGACCTGGTGCATGTACAGAGCTGCAGCTGAGTAGCTCCATAGCCTCTTGTCATGGACCCGCCGATCTCTGGCCTTACCCGATATCCTTCATCTCCACAGAGTTTAGCTCCCCGATTCCCCCATCTCTCCTTTATTTTGGTCTTTGAATTATTTATATTTTGGGTCATTTGTGTTTGAAATACCAGCCAACATACTTTTGTGCACCTGATTTATTTCACTCAGTATTATGGTCTTGAGATCCAGCCATATTGCTACAAGTAACTCCAATGGATCCTTCTTTAAGGCTGAGCCGTGCAACACTGTGGTTGAACATAACACTTGATTTACCTATTCATCTGTCAGTTGCCATATACACCACCTACATAAGTTCTCTATTATGAGTTGTGTGGCTGGAAACATAGAAATGCATATATCACTGTAATGTGGTGATTTTAACTGTTTTGAGGAGGTACCGAAAAGAGCTACAGCTGGTTCAGATAGAATTTCACTTCTTAGCTTCTTGAGGAATGTCTATGCTTATTTCTGTGGTGGTTGTACTTAGCATATATGGCCATCAGCAATGTAGAAGTGTTCCTTTCTCCTCACAGCCTACCCAGCATGTGTTGCTTTTTCAGTGTTCGATGATAGCCATTCCTTCACGATTAAAATATAATTTTACATTTGTTTTGATGTGCATTTCTCTAATGGCCAAAGGTACCGAATATTTCTTCATGTATGTATTGATTATGTGTACTTTTTCTTCTGAGAAGTGCCTATTCCTCTCAATTGCCCCCTTTTTTTTAATCAAGTCTCTTGTTTGGGGAGGCATAATTTTTCTGAGTTATTTGTATATTCTAGATATTGGTCCTCTGGACCAGGAGTGACTGGCAATTTTTCCACGTTCTGTAGGTTTTCTCTGCACTCCTTTGGTTATTTTCTTTGCTGTACAGGAGCTTTTAGATTGGATATATCTATCCCATTTCTTGATTCTTGCTGTGACATAATCTGCAATTGTGGTTCAGACTAAGACATTTGCTCTTTAAAGTTAAAGTCCAAGTCCAGTTTTAGCAGATAGTGCAGACAAACTTCAAAATACTAAAGTTTATTTGTGAAGCACAAAATGTTGAAATCAGAATGTCCTTAAAGGTAAAGGGCTGACCATAAGAGACGGGGGTGGGTTGGTGATGACAGAAGGCAGTGAGAGAAAGGGGCAGAGATCAGACCATGGTGAATGCATGGAGTTTTGTTTTATTTATTTATTATGTATTTATTTATTTAGCTATTTATTTATTTTTGGCACTGGGGATCAATCTGGGGCCCTTGTGCTTGGGAGGCAGGTGCTAGAACCACTGCACCAAATCCCCCACCCACTTGTAGAGTTTTAGATCCACTCTTGTTTGGTCTGGCATACAAAGAGTCTTGAAAGTAGCCTGTGTGGAAAAGAGACATCAGAAACAATAGGCTTTAACAATTTCATAAAATTGTCTTAAGGAAGAAAATAAACTGGTAGGACCAAGTATGCAAAAAGCACGGATGTGATATAGGAAAAGTCTGTGTAAATGGTTATAATTTGAAACTCAATCAGAAAAGGGTTTTTCTTACTCCACTTTGCAATATCGCCAGAATGTGTCACTTTAGGGCTCTCCCATCCTGAGGGCTTTCGTTTGTTCTCTGGACCACAGTCTCTCACCTTCTAAGGCAAATGAACAACAGGAAAGCAGGGAAGCACAGTAGCAGGAGTGTGGAGCCTGGGCCTGATGGCTGAGTCTCTGATGGTCTTATAGCAGCCTTGGCCTGGGACAGGAAGCAAATGATAACTAAATGTTTCTTATTCCACTCAGCCTTTGTCAGCATGGGTTGGCAGAACAATAATAGGTCGAGAGAGAGAAAATCATTGCTAGGAACCAGGGTGGGGTTGTGGCCACAGCTAGGATATATCTTGAGAGTACAACCAACTGGATTAGCTGAGGGCCAGTACCTGGGGCAGCAAGAAGTCAAAAAGAGCTCCTAGTTTTGAAATCTGAGCCAGTAACCATTATTGGTGAGCAAAATACTGCCAGGTCTTATGAGCCGTGTTTCATCTTCTTGCACGACTCTGTATGTTTAAGTGCTCAACCCAGTACCTCAGAATGCAAATGTGTCTGGAAGGCCTGGCCTCTCAAAGGGGCCGAACTCATAGTAGGTGTGGTAGGAAAAGACACAATCCCAGGTGACTGTGACTCGCGTGCCGAGAAGAAGATGATGCCTGGACACAGGGAGACACCAGGGATCTACGTGCAGAGGAGACCCCGGGGAAAATGCCGTGAGGACGCGACACTCGAGAAGCCAGGCAGAGAAGCCCTGAGGAACCGAAATCAGCTGCGATAGTCATGCTGGACTTGAGGCCTCCAAAACAGGGGAAAAGAAATTTCTGTTACTAATCTCACTGAGTTGTAGATACTTCTGACCATCAGAGCAAAAACAAAACAAAACAAAATAAAATAAATAAATAAAATGGGGAGAGCGGGAAGTAGGCTTGAGAAATCCCTAGCTCCATCGGTGGCGTGTTGCCTGAAAGTGACATGTTCCCCACAGCCCCTTGCTCAGGGCTTCCCCTCACCCGAAGCTTCCTACGCCGGCTGCACAGTCGATGTCTTTCTTCAGACCCTTGCCCTGACTGACTGTCATCCTGGTGACTCTTGCACTACCTGAGATTTAGATATGGCTGGTGAGCTCAGAGATGATATTTTTCTTTCACAACACAGGAATCTCTTTCACACTTTGCTGACATTGTAGAAGCTCAGGAAAAGGCCTTAGCCTGAGAGACATTTGTCAGGATCACTTGCTCTGTTCAAGGGCCGTTCAGTCCAGCACAAATTTGGCTTCCCCAGGACCTCCGCTTCCGCAGCTGTCCAAGCAATCAGAGCATGTGAGCCTGGCACTCCCTTTGGAGCCTTCTCTCTCACCTTCCCTTGTACCCGAACGACGACCGCAAGCCACAAACTGGGCAGCACAATTCATGTCCCAGCTGACTTCTCCTTCAGTACCTGCACAAACCAGAGGCAGCCATGGCAATAGAGAGAAGCATCTGCAAGGACCAAGCCTCTGCTCTGCCTCTCGGACAGCCCAGCAACCCTTCTGGAACCCTTCACCATTAAATCCCTACCACTCTCCACAGCTAATATATTCTCCTTTCAGGATATATCCATACTGATGGGAAGAAAAAAACATTAACAGGTCAGCAAGTTGGTTATGCTACAGGGAGCAAATTCCATTGTGTGGGAGCTTTTCCTGAAGCATCCCAGTCAACCTGAAGAATAGACAAGTACAGACAGTTTTATGTTTGTAACTGAGGGCCCAGAGAAACACTGGGCCCCATCATTAGGATGTCAAGGCACATGGCCCTGCCTACCTCCCTCCACCAACCTGTGCTCCAAATATCCCAGTTCCTGCACTGCACTGAGAAATCACTGCACATCTACACAGTTTGAAAACTTTCAGTGGCAGCTGCTTAACTCACTCATTAGATCTTCCCGTAAAAGAGTAAGCAAGGAAGCAGTGGAGACAAGTGAAGGAACAGCAGGTGAATATAGACAGCAATCCACTGAGCCACCCAGGGAAGATCGGTTGGAAACCTATGATTTGCGACCGATTTTTGACCTGAAATGGGAACATAGCTAGGAAAACATAGAATGAACTCTAATTGGGAAAATTAATAATGGACTCCTTAAACTCAGGAGGGAAAAGCCAAGTATAAGATGGAGAGCCAACGTGAGAAGATTGAATGAGAACAGAATTTCACAGAGAAGATCCAGGAGAGTGGGGAGGACCGCGTGTCAAATATTGCCTAGAACATCCTGTGTACTGAAGCCCAATCTAAAGAAAAAGTGTAGCACGCGACTGAAAAACAGAATGTGGGTGCCAGGCATGGAGTCTTTCCCAGGGATAGCATGCTGCCTGCTTCGGGTGCAACATCCTGGCCAATAGATCTTCAGGGATGTTGACACACAAGGTTTCCAAAGGAATTTCCATAAACACACAGCTGCCAAATATTTGGCAAACAGGAAAGAACATAGAATAGTTTCAGACACACAAAACACCGAGGGGCTACTTGGCGGCCTACCTGTCAGGAAGCAGGGGGACTTGTGGTTGTTTTGCTTTAGGAACTGCCCAGCACATGAAAAGAAGAGTGTGTGTGTTAGGAATTTGTTTCCATGACACCAAAGCTTCCCCAGAGAGGTCGAGATGCAGAGGATCCTGAACAATCCTTCTGACTGTGAGCAGGTGGAGTTCAACATTTAGTTACCGCACGTCCATGTGCGGTCTCCTAACCCTGTGCTGAGTAGAGCACACGTGCAGTGTAAATCACCAAGGCTTCAGTTCGACACACACACAGGGAGCCAAGGTCAGAGCTGATGAAATGTCTGGTATAGTAACATCCAGAGCTATGGACCGTGGGGGACAGGATCACTGCTGACACACATGTCCGTGCTTGCACCAAATCCAGAATACAAAAGAACATACAGAGGACAGGACAAAGGCACAGAATCGGCAAACACATGGCCCCTCATACAATCATGAAGCCGCATTTCTCACAGCGATGTTTCAGGTTGGCCAAAGTTCCTTCAATCCTGTTGTCCAAGGAACACAATCCAACTTGTAGAAAGCAATGACAACCTCCTTCCCATCCATCCGGCTGGCTGTGGTCCCAAACAGCAACAAGGGATGCGAGTCATGCTGGTATTTTAGTGATGAGGTCACAGAGCGTTAGCTGAAGGTGCCATTGTTCTGCTCCTCCTTATAAAGGGAGCTGCCCTGGATCCCCAGCACAGACTCGGGAGCAGATCCAGGGCCTCCCGCACAATGCTGGTGGTCCTGCTGACAGCGGCCCTGCTGGCCGTGAGCTCAGCTTGGAGCTCATATGAAGGTAAAAGAGTGGGGCTGAGGCTGTGAGGGGAGTGTGCTTGGGACTCAGGAGACCACACTGCAGAGTCACACAGGGTGGGTCACAAGGGGCAGTCAACAGAAGGACAGACAAAGATGTCGGGGGAGTTCTTATGGCAGGGTTCACATCAGTTCTATCTCCCTTCCACTTCAGGACCTTGCACTTTTGTTGAAGGTACTAGGGGCAGCGCTATCTGTTTTGAGCAGAGAAATGAACAGGTTAGCTTTGCATTTGTGGACTCAGCTCTCTGTGCTGGGAAGGATGGTGGGAAGCTGGGAGGATCCATCGTGGGAGCCCAGCTGTGAGGACATGACCTGAATCCGGGTGGGTGCTGGGAGACTTTCTGCCAAGGGATTTTAGGACACTCGATAGAGAGAAACACACCTAAGAGTCATTTCCAAGACACTGATGTGGATAACAGATTTGAGTACTACTGTACTGACAGCAAAACATCGGGGACCATTTTCCAAGATTTCTCTCCACCACACGGAATACTCAAAGTGCAGGGAGGAGTCGTGCAACTCTGTCCACAACTGCTTCAGGCTGGTTTCCCCTCTGGAGGGAGGACATTGATGTCAGCCAACGATTTAATGAAGGAAGAGGGCAAACCACCAAGAAACGTGATATGGAAATGACTAGAATAATAAACACTAAACAGCAGGGAGGTTTGAGGGATTCTAGGGAGGACAACAGGAGAACTGATACAGTTGTGGGGAGAAGAGGTAGAGAGTCCATGCAGTAACTGCCCTGCCTCCCCTCAGACCTGCTTTCCTTTGCAAGGAGATGATCACGGAGAGTGGATGAGGACTCTAGAGACTGCACTCGGGGAAGTTCAAGTAGGGATTAGGAATGCCTTTTCCTTGAGGGCCACCTGTGAGCCCTGAAAGACTGGCAGTGAAATTGTCCTTTCATCTGTGTTTTATGTCCTAGGGGTCATCTATGAAGACTCTTCCTCCATAGCATCAGGTAAAGCCCTTTCACCCTCAACCAACTTTCTCTTCCTTCTTTTTCTCTGGTATTTTGCCGTCCTGCGGTGTCTTAGGAGGCTGATGTTCATTATGGGGCAGTACTGACCGTCACACTCCCCTCAGACACACAGACAAACCCTCCCCACCTGGCATTCTGAGGTCCGTGGCCTGGTTCGCCGTTCACTAACAGGGAGGATTGGCTCACCGGGGCTCGCGCTGGCCTCACACAGAAGTGACCACGGGCACATGATGTACCGCGACTTTGCTCTTTGGCTCCTCTGTGCAGCTCAGAGTCACCCCCTGGTTTCCTTCTTGCCTCTGTTCCTTCTTAGACTGCTATGGCCACCTGAGAAATGCCCAGAAATACGTGGCTATGCCAGTTGCTTCTGTGATTCTCCACTCAGCTCTGTCCTCATCGGTGATAAAGAAGTGGCCACAACTTTTCAGAGAACCTACCTGAACCATCAGGTTCTGCCTCCACTATCTCGGAGGCTTTGGTCCCGTGGGTCTAGGGCTACTGCTCAGCACCCAGCTCCCATTTCCACACAGCACTTAGGTCTCCCGACTTTTCTCACGGGCGGAAAGTTATTACACCACTGTCTTGCATAGTACAACTGGCAACATACAGGCATTGAAAATCCTTCCCTGTTGCTTCTCCTCCATCTTAGCGACATCCATTGTGAAGTCAATGTGTCCAAGCTGTCTTTCCTGCCAGTGGGGAGAAATTCTTCTCTCAGGGGCCTGTGACTGAGGTTTGGCACACGTGGCCTCTGTTCAGTGTGTGGGTCTGGAGCAGCTGTGTGGGGAAAGGTAGTGGGCGAGGGTAAGGTTGCCGAGAGGCTGGTGTGAGACAAGGAGAGCTGTGCCCAGGTCAGAGAGGTAAAGAGAAGGCCAGTCTTTTACCACTGAGCTCATCTGTTCGTTGCTATGACCACACAGACTTTGAGGACCAAGGCCAGGGCTTTGCTCTGGTCCCTGAGATTCAACGCGATGGTGACGATGAAGATGAAGGCGATGGGGAAGATGAGGCTGATGAAAAACCTGAGAAACCACCCAAGCCACATCCTCGGCCTCCTCCTCCTGGAGCGCATCCAAGACCACCCCAGGAAGGAGGCCAACCAAAGCCTCCTAAACCGCCTCGTCCAGAAAAACCTCAGGAACCAGAAGAAGGAGGCGAGAAACAGAATCGCCAGGCTCGTTCCTTAAATAAGCAAGGTCCACCCCCACCTGGAGGTCCTGCTCCACCTGGAAACCCACAGGGTCCTCCCCCGCCAGGAGGACCCCAGAATCGCCCCCCTCGTTCCGAAGGTCCACCCCCACCAGGAGGTCCTCCACCTCCTCCCCCTCCTCCGCCTGGAAAACCGCCGGGTCCACCCCCACCAGGAGGCCCTCCGAATCGCCCACCTCGTTCCGCAAAGAAGCAAGGTCCACCCCCACCAGGAGGTCCTCCACCTCCTCCCCCTCCTCCGCCTGGAAAACCGCCGGGTCCACCCCCACCAGGAGGCCCTCCGAATCGCCCACCTCGTTCCGCAAAGAAGCAAGGTCCACCCCCACCAGGAGGTCCTCCACCTCCTCCCCCTCCTCCGCCTGGAAAACCGCCGGGTCCACCCCCACCAGGAGGCCCTCCGAATCGCCCACCTCGTTCCGCAAAGAAGCAAGGTCCACCCCCACCAGGAGGTCCTCCACCTCCTCCCCCTCCTCCGCCTGGAAAACCGCCGGGTCCACCCCCACCAGGAGGCCCTCCGAATCGCCCACCTCGTTCCGCAAAGAAGCAAGGTCCACCCCCACCAGGAGGTCCTCCACCTCCTCCCCCTCCTCCGCCTGGAAAACCGCCGGGTCCACCCCCACCAGGAGGCCCTCCGAATCGCCCACCTCGTTCCGCAAAGAAGCAAGGTCCACCCCCACCAGGAGGTCCTCCACCTCCTCCCCCTCCTCCGCCTGGAAAACCGCCGGGTCCACCCCCACCAGGAGGCCCTCCGAAGCCCAGTGGCCCGCCTCCTCCTCCTCCAAACTAACAGGGTCCACCTCCGAGACAAGGTAAGCAGCTCTACTGTCCTCAAGGCTTTTGGAAGTCCCAGGGAGCATCCCCTCTTTCCCACAGGGAAGAACCCCAGAGAGGAGCCCAGGGATTGAGCTCAAAGATCAGCAAGGCATTTCCAGGAGGGATTTAAGCTCTGTCTTCCGCACAGTCCCTAACTCCTGTACTTATTCAAGTGCAGTGTGACAGCCATCCATCTGGCAGGAAGTTCAGGTCATGGGGTCAGTGAAGCCCAACTTCCAGCGTTGCTATTCAGACCTTCTGGGTCAGCTCAGCAGGATTCAGTACTCCCATGGGAGTACTGCTTTTTAGGAACACTGGCCCAGAATTGCCTTTTGACAAACCATTAGTGGCGTTGTCTAGAGGAAGTGGTGCCATGTTCTCCCCTTGGTCCTCTCCCTCCTTCTCAGAGCCCGTGACTTCCCAAGGGCCATTTCCACCTGACCACGCTTAGCTGAGGTCCAGCTCACACCACAGCTGTCAGTGCCAGTGCTTCTGCTGAGTCACATTCATGCCTGTGACTTCTAGGTCACCTTGAGCTGGACATCCTTACCATCAATGGAAGGCATGCCCAAGACATCTTGGGAGCAAAAACCTCATGGCAGAGAAGGGCATGGAGCCAGATGGGGAAAGCGGGTCTTATCACCCAGCCCACACATCATCACTTCCTGCACCCATCCTCCTGGAAACAGTTGTCCCCGTATCACCAAGTCCTCCATTCTGGCCTAGAAAGGACGCCACGAAGGACTTGTGTGGCCCGTCGGGCATAAGCTACTTCTTAGAAATCATCCAAGGCAGCTCACACTTGTAGAGATCTTTCTATTGCCTTTGCCTTTTTGTCCTTTCTCCTGCCCGCTTTCCATCCTCCCCTCTTCCCTTTCCTTTCTATCTCTACATTTCTCTTCCTCCTTTCTTTCATCTCTCCCTCTTTTCATCCTTCCCTTTTTCCTTTCTTCCTGTCTTCCTCTTCTCTTCCTTTCTCCTCCTTTGCCATCAACCTCTCTTGCTTTCTTCTTGACATATTACAAAAATTGTGTACTATTCCATTTTGGATTTCCAGCATAATTTGCATCAACCCAAGCCCATCCGTTTTCACTTTGATCAGTTGAAATTCCATTGCTGGAATTCCATGTTGCAGCGATCCCCTTTGTCCATTTACCTTTGATCACTTTCTGTCGCAACTGAAAGACACACAGCTTAGGAACCATCTTTATTTCTTCATTTTACAAGGAAAAATTTACAGCACATTGTGTTCTAGCTTTTTAACAAGAAGTGACAAGCCGAAATTGGGAAGGAAAGGGGAAGGAGAAGAGCAGAGGGAGAGAAGTCTGGGTCTCACTTCCCTCACTTCAGTGATGCCAGCAAGGGATTGGCTGCATCTTGCCCTGTCTGCCAGGTCTTCCCTGTAACATTCTTGCTTGTTTCTTTGTCTTTCAGAGAATGAATGAGAAGGTGACGTCCTTCAGAAAATCTCCCCATTGGAACAATGCAGTCCTATCTGCATCATCGATGTTCTAATAAAATAATCAGCATGCCATTTCTGACTGCAGTGTTTCTCTCTCTTATTCTGGTGAATTTTGAATTTCACAACCATTGTTAACCACATTAAGGGGCCAACGTTCCTTCACATTTTTGTTTTCCTAGTAATTTATCATAAGCCATCTCTCAGGTGGAAAGATGAAGTGGTTCTTTCACTTTTAGCCATTGTTCTAGTTTTTTCTTGGACTCTGTGTTAAAAGGAAATTAAAAATACATTTTTGGAGTGTCTTTTAATTTATAGTGAAATTTTCAGGAAAAGGAATAGATAGAAGAAGTGATAGAAAGTTGTCCATTCTAAAGTGTTGTCCCCAACATTTGCATTATGTTGGAACCTGGTTTCTTCAGAGCCAGATGTACTGGTGGGACCCTTTTCCCCAGAGCCCATTCCTCTCCTTCCCTCTATCTCAGCATTGCTCAATTTGTCCTTCACTGTGCCCCACCGTCCCTTTTCTACACCTGAATGGATTTCACAGAACAAGCGGCATGATCTCACCTCAGATGTAGTACAGGATTGTTAGGTCTCTGTCTTTTTTATTCTTGTAATCTTTGGATAGTTGTCCTCCTGCTGTAATAGAATTATGGCTACACAATTAGGACAGACAATATTTGGCCGCGATATAGTAGTGCATAAATACTTCATTTATACTTTGTCTACAAGAAGTTCCCCTCACCAATAAAAACACTCATGACTGAACATGAATGAATGAAAAATAAGATTCCAAACAAGTAGAAATCAAAAGAGAGCAATCTCTATATTTCTCTCTAACAAAGAGGACTTGAAGTCTAAAACTATAAGAGGAGAAAAAGCCACCCTGTAATGTTACAGAAATCAATTGACTATAAACATTGTGGTTATGAATTTGTGCAGACCTAGTGTCAGAACCGTTGATTTTAGTACACTCACTTTTCGTTGTACCAGAACTGATAAGCTATGAAACAGCTCATCCTCTGTGGAAAGTTTCCCATCTTCCCTCAGTGGTTGGATCACCCAAAGAAAAAGTCAACACAGAATCATCAGAGTACCACTCTACTGCACATTCAACAGTCTCATCAGACTTTTACAGAACTTCCTCTCCGATAGCGACATAAAAACTCCTTCTTGGCCTCTGTGCATGGAAGCTGTTCCAGCAGAGACTATGGCAGGTCCCATGAATCGTAGTATCAAAAGAGTAACACACAGTAGAGCAAGCCTTTGCCTTTACCCTCCTCTATGTCTTCTTTGTAAAGATGTTCTGTCTCACAAAGGTAGCCGTGCATGCTGCACAGTGTTCCTGGCCAATGTATCAAAATAGTCTGTAACCGAGCTGCACGATGTTCCTACCAGACCTTTGAAGAATGTTCTGTTAACTCCGCCTCTCCTCTGTGCGCATGCCCGCCCTGGTACTTGTTTCAGGAATGTTCTGTAACTCCGCCGTCCTACTTGTGAGCATGCTGGCTCAGCAGGTGGCACTCACCCAACCCCACAGATGTCTGTAGAATGCTGCTTCCATTTTTGTTTGGTGCTCAGAATTTGGAGTGGGCAAAGTTCTCTGAGCCCGCTGGCTATAAAGGTTTTTCTCCATCTCTGAGTAGCTTTCAGATTCTTGAGTCTTCACATTGCTGCAGCTGGAGCACTTGGGCTAAAGCACTGGAGCTGTAGACTTGAGCTAAAGCTCTTGGCTGTAACACTGTGCTGTTCTTTGCCACAGCACTAGGAAATACCAAAAATAGAAGTCTTATTCTGTACCTTCTCCTTTCACAGTGGAATAGAACTAGAAGTCAGCTACAATGGAAACTTTAGAAATGACACAAAACATAAATGCAGAACAACATACTTTTGAATGAACAGTGAGTTGCCAAAGAAATCAAAAGGGGAAATGAAAGGTTTCTCAGTGAAAACACATAATTCCCATATTTATAGGGTGCAGAGAAAGCAGTACTAAAAGAGAAATGTAGACCACTCACTGCCCATAGGAAAATTAGAAATATTTAAAATAAAAAAGGCCTAGAGCATCAGGAATAAATGAAACTCTAAATTAGTAGAAGGAAGGAATTGACGATTAACAGCAGAAATAAATGCAATAAAGATGAAGTAGCAATGAAAAGATTAGTGGAATAGAGTTCAATTTTGATGTCAGAAAATTTTACAAACCTTTAATGAGACCAAGGAAGAGAAGAGATAGGGAAACAGAGACAGAGACAGACAGAGCTGAAAGAGGAGATATGACAACCACTACCCCAGAAATGCAGTACAAATTATCATGAAGGATTAGTATGCAAAATGATATGCTCACAATGTGAAAAACTTTAAGAAATGAATAAATTTCTGGACACACCTGACTTACAAATAGAACCACAAGAATATAAGAAAACCGGAAGAGATCAATCATGAGTAAAGACAATGGGTCTGTAATAAAAAGTTTCAATTAATGAAAAAATCAATCCATTAATAATCCCAGTATCAGATGACTTCACTGATAAATTTTGCCACACTTTTAAAGAAGCTTAAACCAGATCTTCTGAAATCATTCAAAAAATTGCAAGTGTGGGAATTCTTCTAGGCATTTGCTGAGATCATCATTACCCTGGTAAATACAAGTAGGTAGGGATGCAACAAAGAAAGAAATCTATAGATCAGTGTCCTTGTGGAATGTACATGCTGGAATTTCCAACAGTATACCAGCAAAAGTAATTCAACATCACATCCAAAAGATCATTTACTATGGTCAGCTAGGTTTCATTCCATGGATGCAAGGATGTTTCTACATACACAGATAACTGAATGTAACATCACATCAACACAAAGAAGAACAAAAATTTCATTGTCATCTTCATACATAAGAAAAAAACATTTGATAAAATTTGTCGTCATTTCCTGATAAGAGTCCTGAAGAAATGTGATGCAGAAAAGTTACACATCAACATAGTAAGGGCTACAGATGACAAACTCACAGCCAAGGTTTTGCCATTGCATTTTAAGACCTGTGTCATAGCAAAATTTAGTAATTTTAACAAAGATCTAACCAGGCCCTACTTTTGTATCAATATTTTTATGTATTATACAATGTATTATAAATGTGTTATAAGTTACAAATGTATTATATAATGTATAATAAATAATCATTTAAAAAACATTATAGGAAGTGCATTCAAATAAGCTCATTCTTCTACACAAATCATTTATCTTTCAAGAATACTCTTCCCAAACCCATAATTTTCTGATGTCTATTTAAGTTTTCCCTTATATTTATTTTTGGTCTTTCTTACTAGGGGACAGTCAGTGATTCTAATGTAGGACCAAAAATACTCCAATTTTTTTGTTTTGTTTTTAGAAAATACAGATCTGCCATACCTCATAGCCTTATTACAGATCAGAAGGATTTTCTTTTCTATCTACACAAGTGGTTTTCTTATTTTTAAAATTTCTAGTTTCCATATATGAATTAGAATTCCTACTTCTTAGTAATTTTAATCATGTACAAGATACAATTATTCATAATACAGTTTTTTAATCAACACGGTTTATGTTATAGTTTATATCTAGATTCCTCCTGCCTATCCCCAAGCCTCATGTACTCATCGGTGGGGCTTTTCAGAGGTGTTTGGATCTAGGGTAGGTGATCCTGGGATCAAGGGTGAAGGTGGGGTAGCCTGGATAAAATATGAGACAGCGGGAGGGCTGCTGCTGTTACTTGTAGGCTCTTGCTCACTGCTTGTTGCCTTCTGCTTGCCTCCATTGCGATGCCCTCCACCATGCCACCCTGCCTTGGATCCAGCCAACTGTGAACTGAAACCTCAGTAAGATGTGAGCTTCAGTAAACCTTCCCTCCTTTTACTTTGAGCATCAGGTATTTTGTCTCAGCAACGAGAAAAGTACGACAGGTTGAGATTATAGCACACCTTCAGGTTTTCCATCCTGTCTGTAATAACAATACAAAAGCAGACAAATTTTTCTTAACAATTAAAGTTTTTTCATCTAATCTTATCGAGAATATGCTGGATACTTGAAAATATGTATTATTAAACATAACAGCAAAACTCAAGAATTTAAGATCTCAACATGTTAGTTATGACAGAATGTGCATTTTGAAGTAATAAAATACAGCAGCTTGTGCTTTCTTGTGCTGTATTATGTACATGGAAATGCCAGTTTTCTTTGGCAGAGGGACATTCCCAGTTCTGAAAGAAAGTCTTCATGTTAGAGTTGTATAAAAGGGAGACATTTATTAATCACTTGAAAAACATTCCTCTTTTAAGAATACCTGCTTGCCTGTTCTTGTATACCTTTATAAAAATATGGAGGAGAAATGTCTTACTTTGCGCCTCGTATAACAGAAGACATGATTTTATTTATCTGAGAACATTCGGGAAGACCATTTATATTGAAGGTGTTATCCAAATTTCAAGTTTGAGGAACAGTGGACCAAATCCCCCCCTTTTTATACAATGATCACCTGTCTATTTGATGTTGGTTTGTGGAAACAGAGTGAGGTCCTTCCCTTGGTCCGTTGCCTCCTTGCTTAGATCCAGTGACTTTCACCTCACATATCCACTGACTGCTATCATCTCATTTCTGCCAGAGAGTACAGCGTTCAGCTTCAGCACCCTGGCTGAATGGATTCAATCCTATGCTGCTCTGTATAGTTTACATTTTTAAATACTTAAGATTAATTCTTGCTCAGACTAAAAATATTCTAACTTAACAAAATGATAGGAAGCTACACCTGAAAGACATATTTCATCCTAACTCCTCCCAGCCCCTACTAAGACCACTATCATCGATTGTTTGGAGAACCTCTTGGAAACATTTGTGAATATATAAATATACATCATTCATTTTTCCTAAAAATGGTGACAAAAAACACACGCAGATCTGTGTGTCGCTATATTCTCAGGGTGCTTCCCTGTGAACTTACAGAGATACTGGTTTACAGATCTTTCTAGTGCTTTTTGTTCTTTGTTTCATTCTTTTGTTTTTTCTTTCTAAATATCTTCTTTCTTAATTGCTAATTTTTCTTTTTCTTTTTGTTCATTTGTTATTTTTGCAACTGTGCAATATTCCACTGTGTGACTATGCCATAATT